CGCATGCCCGACGACTGGAATTTAAACGTGCTCTGCCCAATCCACAAGAAAGGCGACCTCGCCATTCGCGCTAACTATCGCGGGATCAGCCTTCTAAGCATAGGTTGCAACGTCTTATCGAGCGTATTGTGTGAAAGACTGAAGCCCACCGTCAACGAACTGATTGGGCCTTATCAGTAGCTTTAGACGTGGCAAGTCCACCATAGACCAGGTATTCACAATACGCCAAGCCTTGGAAAAGACCCGAGAGAAAAGGATCGACACTCAACACCTACTTGTCGATTTTCAGAGCCGCTTTCGATAGCACTAAGAGAAGTTGTCTATACGCCGCGATGCCTGAATTTGGCATCCCCTCGAAACTGACACGGCTGTGTAAAATGACGTTGAGCCATACCACCAGCTCCGTCAGAATTGGAAAAGACCTCTCCGAGCCGTTTGATAGCAACTCCCTTGCATGTGATTTCTTCAATCTGATGTTGGAAAATATAATAAGGGCAATCGCAGAATCCATCGTAGTCCGATTTTTCGTGAAATCTAGCTATTCGGATTCAGTGAGAGCAATTTCGTAGATTTCACGAAAAATCGGACTAGAATGGATTCTGTGACAGCCCTGAATAAGAGCTGCAGAACTGAACCGCTCAGGAACAATTTATTACAAGAGTGTGCAATTGCTGGCGTACGCCGATGACATTGATAGTCGGTTCTACGTAACCGGAACGACCCAGATTTATATCTGGCCAAGGACTGTCACTTCAGCAACACTCTTCAAAAACTTTTTTGGGAATTTATATGCTGTTACAACTAAAAAACCAACATCGTCGGTAACAAGAACCGCGAAGTCTGTTCTGCCTTTCCCTGTTTCCATGGTCAACGAGGACAAGACGAAGTATCTCCTGTCATCAAACAAACAGTCAGCGCATTCGCGCCTTGGCACCCACGTCATTGTTGACAGTTATAATTTCGAGAAAGTTCCATGCTGGTATAATGCGCAGAAGCATGGACAATGGCAACATCCGATCAGACGGCTCTTGGAGCATTCGAGGGGATGGTCTTATGGAAGATTTACGGGCCTTTACGCATTGGCGACTACCGCAGACGATGGAATGAGCTGTATGAGCTTTACAACAGAGGTGGCCAAAACTCACACAATCATATATTTCAATTTTGCTAATAGGGAATTTACA